AACAAAAAAAAAAGTTTGTTTCAGTTTTTATTTGTATTTTGAATTTTATGGTCAGGGTCATGTCGAGTTATAAATCTATCTCTATTCAGTTTTTTCTTCTCATAAAGAAAATTCTATGTATAGATAGATTAGAAACTCATCTGTAATGGTGAGGCTTTGCCAAAAAGCTTCAGCAAAATTTTGTTCTTTGTTTATCTATATATAATAGCAAACTCAAACAAATGAATATTTTTATTGTGTCTTCTCAACAAAAACCGTTGTATGGTTATTTTCAATAGTTGCATCTTTTCGTTATAACCGCTTTGTCAAAAGTTGCGTCTTTTCGTTGTAACCGTTAGAATTGTGTCTTTTCATCTTAACAAAAACTGCTTTATGGTTATTGTCAAGAATTGCATGTTTTTGTTACAATCGCTTCATCAAGAGTTGCGGTTTTTCGTTATAGCCGTTTGTCAAGACTTGTGTCTTTTCAATATAATTATTTTGTCAAGAGTTGCGTCTTTTCAAAATAACCACTGTTATTTTCAAAAGTTATGTCTTTTAAAAAATAACCACTGTTATTTTCAAAAGTTATGTCTTTTAAAAAATAACCGTTTTATAATTATTTTTAAATGTTGCATCTTTTCAATTTAACCGCTTTTGGGGAAAACCGTTGGCCCTAAATATATATGTTTTAATTTTTTTCCATGGAACATTTTGTTAATCATGGCTATTTGTTCTATAATTTATTTAAAACATAAGAAAAATGAAAAACGCCACTCGATTATTTTCAAATTGTTCAAAAGTATTGATCTTTTTAAGTTCCAAACTTTTTTTGATTTGTCTAAAGAATTTTGGATTTCTTTAGACAATGCATATTTCATGGCAAATTTCCAACTAAATATTTTTTATATATAACCACTTTATGGTTATTTTCAAGGATTGCGTCTTTCCGATATAACCGCTTTATGATTATTTCCAAGGGTTACGTCTTTTCGAAAAAATCACTTTATGGCTATTCGGACATTTTAGGGTTACATTTTAAAAGAATTTTTTTTTATAGTTATTAATATATCATAAAGTTGCGTCTTACAAAAACTTTTTATGGTTATTCAAGCTTCTAAGGTTTGCGTCTTTTTGAATTAATTATAGGAACTCTACAAAATACATTCTAGAATGCGTCTTTAAAAAAAATCGTTTTATGGTTATTAAAACATTTTAGGTTTCATCCTTTCGAAAGAAACTGTTTTATGGTTATTAATACATTACATCTTATAAAAGATTTTTTTATGGTTATCAAAGCATCTAAGGGTTGTATTTTTTCGAAAAATTTCATCTTATGGTTATTAATGCATCAAAGATTACGTTTTTTCAAAAAAAAAAAATATTTTTATGGTTATTAAAGAATCTAAGATTTGGTGCGTCTTTTCGAAAAATCTGTTTTATGGTTGTTAACGCGGTTAAATCTTTTCAAATAAGCGTTTTATGGTTACTGAAACATCTAAGGGTTAGCGTTTTTTCGAAAAATGTCGTTTTGTGGTTATCGGTGCATCATAGGATAATGTTTTTTTAAACACTGTTTTATAGTTATTAAATTCTTGAAAAACAAAGTTGGAAGTTCTTTACCCCGCGATTTTAGGGGGTTTCAATCC